CTGCAGTTAAAAACGGTACTATTCCTTGACAGCATTTTCATGAGTTGCATCTGTTCAAAGTATTTGATCTGTGCATTAGGTCTTAAAGTGACAGCAGCCTAATAAACCTGCTGCTCTTAAATGTCGCTCATGTTAATCAAACAACAGAAAATGAGAAAATCACTCATTGCTCTTGACTGAATAACTTTAGTAACTTTAGTAAAAATCATTGCATATTTAATTCATACAAAGGAGACTATGCGGTGTTTTATTTTATTTTTACGTTTGGTGATTTAATTTCTGTAGTATTTCGTACATGAATGCTACTGTTAAATAGTCTGTACCTGAAAAAAAAAATTAAAGCACTGTTTGTTTAATTTGTATCTTTTATTTTTCCTGTTGTTTGTAATTTGCATTTTTGTCCTTATTTTTAGTTTTTTTTCCAAAATGCTTACATCGTTTTTGAAACTATGGCTCCATTTCTCAAAATCTACACAAGGGGTGCCCAATCCTGCTCCTGGCAAACGACTGTCCTGCAAAGTTCAGTTCCAACCCTAATCACACACACCTGAAGCAACTAAGGTCTTCAGGATCACTTGAAAATTAAAGTCAGCACCTGAAAAAGTTGATAAAGTTGACTTTCTGACTTGTCTTGTATGCATGTTCAGTATGTATAAGATAGATAGATAGACTGAATATGCATATAAGCCAAGTCCAAAAGCCAGCTTTATTTATAAAACTCTTTGTACAATATAGATACAATGTAAACAGAAATGCAAAGGGGTAAAAAATTATTTCTTTCTAAAAAAAACAAACAAATGATGTATGTTTTCACACATGATCACTGTGTGTAGGTCATCAGTAAAGGAGTTTGGCATTAAAATGGCAGTTTCCCCAAATTAAACAAAAGAGCTGTTAGTTTTGAATGATGTGTGTAATGTAGTGTTTAGTTTTGCAAAAAGTTTGTTTTACAATATCAAACAGAGTTTAAAGCATGTAATGTGCTTGTAGTTTTGCAGACTTGGTTTAAAGATTAGGTATATGAGAGAATGGTTCACTAAGTGGGCCTCAAGTATCACTTTGCGTCTAAGCAATTAAAAAAAAAAAAAACCTGTACCAAGAGGGGAAACCAACTTCAACAGATAAATGTTTAGTATCCTTTTTAATTCAGTGTAAAAATTTCTTTTCTTTTTTTTTTCAAATTCAACAGATACATTTTCACAGCCATGCGGAAACAGTTTGAAATGCTTGTAAACAAATGAACATAAAATTCAACCAACAAAAGCTTCCCCCCCCCACAGTTGAACTATATACATATAAGCTACCAAACCCCATACCACAGCACACATCATCATCAGAAATAAAGCAAAGACCAGATACAGACTCTATCAAAAAAGTTACAAACCCACCACCCTCACCTCTATGTACTATGAGGGTCAATGTTAGTTCTTTATTATTTTTTTTTCATCGTTATAACAAATGATTTCGGCTACTTGTATCCAAAATACAGATTTGAAGTTATAATCACCAGCTCTCCAACTTATAATTACAGACTTAATTCTTCTTTTAATAGACCTAACGAATGAGTTATCAAATATATATATATATAGCACCATGATGTGATTACTGAGGACAGAGGGAACATCACAAAAACCCGTGTTAGTATCGAGACCAGAACAACACTGGCCCTCATAAGATTCTCACATTGCTGCATGCACTGATAATCACTCTACTGGACAACATATTTTTCCTTTACATTTTGTATTCTGCTTCTCTATGTTTGACTCGATAGCTTTACTTGTGTAGAGAAAAAACATAACAGAGGATAAGGCATCAATTCTGCTGACGAGAGAGTGTTTACTGAAAGTTGTGCGTTAGGGCTTAAATTCATTTGAGGGTAGCAGCTAAATTTGCCTCAACAGTCATATTTTAATTGCAAATGATTGAGATTTTGGTCTTGTTATTATAATAATAATTTTAAAAAAAATGTAATTTAGCTGACAAGCATGATCGTAACCAGCGTGTACCTAAATCCTGATGCTATGGATGGGGTTTATGAGGAAAATCAATGACATTGAAAACAATGCAAAATTTGCATAAAGAATAAGCATCGAAGGAAGGAGTATGAACATGACAATATCGATGTGGTTGCTGATGTAAAATGTAGCCCATGTTTGACGTTTACAAATTAAATACACAACAGTGCCTTACATTTGGAAAACTGCACATGCTTACAACACAACAGCTACTGAAGAAACTCAAAAATGACTAAAAAAATAAACCAATTCATAATGATTCAATACAAACATCTGCTAAAACCCATGAAGGAAAAAAGTAAATTACAAGAGAGAGAGAAAGGGGAAAAAAACACCTCTTAAAAAAAAAAATAAAAAAAATATTGGGTTCTTTATACAACAAACCATAATTTAACATGGATCTAACTACAACATGTGGGTGATTTGATGAATGCAAGCAAAGATGAACCAGAGGAAAACAAGGACATGGTCACATTTGTCAGGAGCTTCAAATATTGGAAACAAAGTAGAATCGGATGATCTTAGAAGCAATAGCTGCGAACCTTCAAATAAAGCAGAAGTCGATGAGATACGTTTCCTGAGAGTTCACCAACAACCTTACTGGTATTGAATAGAGCTTATAGTTATACTAAGATAAACCACTATGCAAATGTTATATCGGTTGATGATTCTATAGGATGTTATAAAGGTTATTTACACTCAGAACGATCTATAAGAGGGAAAGCTCAAGTCTAGCTCTTAGAAAATTGTCACAGTTTTGCAATATATTGTAAGAATATTTTTGTTAATTTGTCGATAGAATGTTTCTAGTCTATATATTTATGAGCTGTGTGATTTTTGTTTTCAGAGTAAGACATCATAAAACAACAGACATTATTATTGCATAACTTTCTTTTCCATTTCAAGAACTCTATGCTATGATACAAATATAAACGATGTGTAGACTTTTAAAGTGAAATAAGCCATGTGTCCAAGTGTGGATAGTTGCAATTTGCATAAAACATAATGAATATACCCTTTCAAATGGAGCATGAAAACTACCTATTGCAACCTTAGCGAGGCCGAGGAACCACATGAATCCTCAACCTTTTCTTTTAGAGGTAGTAAAAATGGTTTTCTTCTGGAATGAATGCTGTGAGTTAAGAAAAATGCATGGGATGTGATGCGATTCCTCGCAGATGCACGACCAAAGAGGCTGGTAAACAAACAAGCTGGCGCTGTATTGTTCAGAGACTCGCAATACTACTAGAAAGTCTACCAGAAGAATCCTCTGCTGTGCCGTCAACATCAAGGATGACAGGAAGGTAGTGTTCAGGTAGCAGTGATTGCTTGCGGTTTATTCGGCGGCTCACAAAATACTCCGACCGCCCGTATAAAAATGGCTCTTTAGAACAAATTAAAACCATAAACATCGGCGTCAAATGATAACTTTTGTTTTGTTTTTCTGCATATCACAATATTCACTTTGACTTGAGCACATCCCACTTCTATAATTATGTTTGTTAATCACATAATACAATAAAGCTGCAGGTTTTTACTATCGTTTTACAGGCCAAAACATATATTTTTTGTCCCTGTAGTGCAAATTGTGAGTGTTTTCCATTAGTCTACTCTAAAAAAAAAAAAAAAAAAAAAAAAAGACTTTTGCAATAACCGACAGAAACCAACCTTTTCCATTTTTACGGTTTCAAAATTAGGTCTCAAAAGCAGAAGCATGTTTTAACATTCACATAATAAAATCAACCAGGCAGCGATACGCAAGGTTTTTAGTAGACTCATAAACTTACCTGTAATATTTAAAAAGACAGTTCAATCAATGTTGTCACTTACACACACCCTCATGTCATCCTGTATGGCTTCAAAAGACTTGAAATATAGAAAATGGTCAAAGCAACCTACAGCTGAAAAATGAATAGCTATTCTATAATATATGTGTTATGGAAGGGGTTTCTTTTTCTATAAAAAGTCCCATATTGAAGAATTTTTATTTTTAAATTAGAACTTTTAGTTTGGACTGAATACATCAAACAGAAAACCCATACGATTAGACTTTAATTGAATGACAAATGATCTGCAATGTTGGAGCACATATCTGGTAACAATTCCATAACCGTTGTGCTTGTTGGTGCTTCTTGTACATGTTTTTCTTGTCTAACAAATATAACGGTTTACTGTTATAACCTTACTGAATCATGACACAACATACATATATATAAGTGTGTGATTTTGTGTGTGTGTGTGTGTGTGCGTGTATGTGATATATATATATGATATATATATATATACACACACACACACACACACGGAATATTGTGCATGAGTCATAACTACTTTTATGATCATTTTAATTTAATGGATCTTTTTTTAAATGGTGTGTTTGGAGCTTGACAGCACCAGTACCATTTTGTTGTGTTAAACGGAAAAAAGTAACTAAAATATGTGACCCTGGACCACAAAAGTCGCTGGGGTATATTTGCAGCAATAGCCAAAAATACATTGTAAAGCAGTCTTAAGTCGCTGGGGTACATTTGTAGCAATAGCCAAAAAATACATTGTATGTGTCAAAATTATTGATTTTTCTTTTATGCCAAAAGTCATTAGGATATTAAGTAAAGCTCATGTTCCATTAAGATATTTTGTAAATTTCCTACTGTAAATATATTAAAACTTAATTTTTGATTTGTAATATGCATGGCTAAGAACTTCATTTGGACAACTTTAAAGGCGATTTTCTCAATATTTTGATTTTTTTTTGCACCCTCAGATTCCAGATTTTCAAATTTTTCAAATCAAAGTTGTATCTCAGCCAAATATTGTCCTATCCTAACAAACCATACATAAATCGAAAACTTATTTATTCAGCTTTCAGATTATTTATAAATCTCAATTTAGAAAAATTTACCCTTATGACTGGTTTTGTGGTCCAGGGTCACATATTATTTAAAATATGATCTCTTTTTGTGTTCCAAAGAAAGTCATACATGTTTTAAAGAACATGAGGGCAAGTGACAGAATTGACAGTATTTTTGGTGACCTATTCCTTTTACATTCAAAAACTATGAATTCACACCACCCTAAAGTGAATGAAAAGGTCAGGTGTGGGATGAAACTGACCACGAAGACAATTCTTCTGAGTCAAACATAAAACTACCCTTCTTTATCATGTAGCTGTTGTTAATGGTGTATGCGGCACAAATGACTCAGACACCTGATGACTGCCAACTCTTCACGCCGGCCGACCTGAAAAGTTCTACAGGAATGAGCTCTGTGGCGCCCTCTCCCTGAGTGATGGAGAATTGAGTTACCTGAGTTGAGAGAGCGATCATGCTCTACACCTGAGGTGGGAGGTCGCCCGGACCCAGAGAAGTGGGACAGGTAATGGGGCGGAGTCTGCTCTTCATCGCCCGAGAAGCTCCTCCTCCTCAGAGGCCCACCCAAACCGATCGGCCTCCTCCCAACTGGAATCTTCCTCTCTAAACACCAAGCCAGACTGAGGTTACCGAAGTTACTGAGGTTACCCAGGCTACCGAGCTCCACTCCACAACACTGCGGGCCTTCCTCCGGCTGAGCCCAAATTTCAACTCAGATCTGAAACTTAATTTGATTTCTACATGACAGAAGGGTGATTGTGTTCAGAAAATGAAGCCCTGAGAAAAGACAATGTGGAACCCAACATGATGACTGCAAATCCCTACCAAACATTTGATTCTGTCAGATTCTGTCACCCTGAGGAAGCGTGCCACTCTTTCTCACCCGGGTATAAGGATGATGGCTACAGTTGTCTGTAATTGTCCGTGACACTGCTGAAACTGCTACCGACTATCAAGCAGAACCAGACCAGACCCAAAGCTGAGGAAAACCCAGAAGAAACGGCTCCTGGACCAATTTTGCACCCAAAAATCAGTGTTCGGTGAGAGGAGAGAGAGAAGATGACAGATTGAAAAGATTGCACTCACTTTTCTTTTGTCCTTTATACTGTGCAGTCTTCTTTTTCTGTTTCGAGACATTTGGCGGTGCTTCTCTTGCGGCTGTAGAACGAAAGGGACAAGCTGTTATTCTATGCAGCCAATCATTAAAGGGATAGTTCACCCAAAAATGAAAATTCTGGTCATACATTACTCTCACTCATGTCATTCCGAAAGACCTTCGTTCATCTTTGGAACACAAATCAAGATATTTTTGATGAAATCCGAGAGCTTTCTGGGCCTTGAATGTGGTATGACCCTTGCTGTCTATGGAGGATTCAAAAGCTCTCAGATTTCATCAAAAATATCTTAATTTGTGTTCCGAAGATGAACAAAGGTCTTACGGGTTTGGAACGACATGAGCATGAGTAATTAATGACAGAACGTTAATTTTTGGGTGAACTATCCCTTTAAAACATAATACAAACACATTATAGCTTACAAAAAAAAAAGAACAGCAGGATTTTTATTTGCTCTGAACTAAAAAATAATACATAAAGTAAAAAAAAAGAAAAAAAAAAAGAAAAAAAAATTAAAGGGGTCATATGATGCGATTTCAAGTTTTCCTTTCTCTTTGGAGTGTTACAAGCTGATTGTGCATAGATAAGATCCCTGAAGTTGCAAAGACTAAAGTCTCAAAACCAAAGAGATATTCTTTATCAAAGTTAAGACTCTGCCACGCCCCCCTAAAACGGCTCGTTCTAACATGCCCCTACATATCTAGGTCACTATGTGGAAATATTAGCATAATGCCGCCCAAATGTGCACGCAAAGAAAGAAGGCGTGGTTTCAGGAACAGCAGTAGTGTTGATGCAGGCATGTCAGGGAGACGCTGTGTGTTTCTAGGCGAAAGCAAAAGCACTTTATTTGGCCTTTCGGAAGTAGATGCAATTAGGAATCATTGGTTAAGATTTATTTACAACAGAACAGTACAACCCAGATGTTCGAATTTGTGCAACGCATTTTATGGACGACAGTTTTTTGAACCTAGAAGAGTAGTACAAAGCTGGCTGTGCACAAAAGTCTATTTCTTAAAAAAAAAAAGGGTCAATTCTGACTTTGCTATGACAATCTGGCGCTTCTGAATTAGCTACTGTTTTGTTATTAGTTTAAGTATCTGCTATTGACTGTTCAAATGCGGAGTTTTGCGCATCGTGTGTGTGTGTGTGTGTGTGTGCGCGTGCGCGTGCGAGAGACAGCGTCACATCACAGTAGAGTCACAGTAGAGAGTGTGTACTGCATCATTACTGTGTCTGTCACGCGACTCTGTTCCACTTTCGGGCTTGAACTGATGGTAAAACTAATGACATTATTTACGGTCTTTACATTTATTTTGAAAGATGAAGCTCGCGATTATGGTAAGGGGCGTTACATTTCCGACAAGTGCTTGTGGTGTTCGGCCAATCACAATGCACTGGGTCAGCTGGCCAATCAGAGCAGACTGCGCTTGTCAGAAGGAGGGACTTTGTAGAAAACGAAGCGTTTGAGAGAGGCGGGGCATATAGGACCTACCATAATGTACAGTATTTGAAAAATAACGTGTTTTTTGAACATTAAAGCATGTCAACATATTCTGTTACACCAAATACACAAAATAATGATCTTTTAAAAAAGCATCATATGACCCCTTTAACAGATGTTATCTTGTTATTATTCCAAATATTATACTAATCAATATTAAATAATACATGATTATAGATATAATCAAAATGATTAGCCTATTCTTATTTATACTTTGCATAGAATATAAGTCATGTGACTCATGCTATCCTTTACGTGAACTGTTAAAGGACACTTGATTGATTGGATCTGACAAAAAGAAAGGATTGGTAATGCAGTAATTATAAATTTTACGTAACTGCACAACTCAAATTAAAAAAAAAAATTTGATGGGCCCCAAGTTTACTCAGTATTCAGTAACTTTCATTCTGACATGTCTATGCTGGTATACAGAGGTCAGTCTATAACAGAAGTCATTTACAGTATCAAACTGTTTAAATCTAAGAGTCAGACAGAGAGTAGAAAATAGTTGTGTAAAACTAAATTAAAAAACAAAAGAACTAATAAGAACTTAAAAGTTTAGAAGACTATGAAGACTTTAGAAGACTTAATGGGAGAATAAACAGTGTTGCTAAGAAACAATTTGAACCTTCTAGAATCAGAATCTTCTGGACTGTTCACTCACTCTGCGTGGCAGGCGGCTGCAGCTGATAGCCAGTCAGTTGGCACCAGCCTACAGGGTAGAGATCTGGAGACTCACAGTCCACCCACTGATCGTACTCATCCTCCCAGCCATCAAAATGAATGCGCAGGAGTCTGTGGACGATCCTGGTTACTGTGGCGACACACACCAGACGTGGTTCCATCAGGTCCACTGCCTCCAGCTTCATCCCTTTACGGAAGCCGTGATTCGGTACTTCCTGAGAGCATGAGAGAACATGAGTTAATGCATGCATCCCAATGTGTAATTTAAGACAAAACACAAAGCATATAATTTGACAAATAAAAAAAAATCCTCACAGTCTAAGCATGAAAACTTACTTTGTTAAAGAGCTTCACAGGGGCTGCAATTGAACCCATTTCTCTGAGGTAGTCAAACCATTTGAAAGGGAGTTTGGTGTACCCTGTGGAGCAGTTTCAGATTCATTAGCAAAAATGGCGCAATTTCATTCAGTGATGCAGTCAGATCTGATCACACAGCAGAAGAGAGAGGAAAAGCACCTCTTGGGGGTGTGAGCTCAATGTTGTTGATTTCACAGAAGCCGACTGGGAAGATGGAGGGAGAGGTTGAATGGTAGCAGAACCAGTCTGACCCATCAGCAGCCTCAGAACCATCAATCCCGATCATTAGGTACCCGTCTGCCAACACCTGAGAGAGATAATCAATTCCAAGTTAAAAATACTTCTTCCTTGTGATTTTTTGCCCAACTCAATGTTTGAGTCCAACAGAGAAAAATGTCAAAATGGCATTTTACCTTTCTTACAGTAGCAACACATATAGCAGAGAGATTTAGAGGGTCTATTGCCTCTAACTTCATTCCATCTTTAAACCATTCCCCACTCTGATCCACATCCTTAATCTATGGGTTCAAAAGAAGACACATGAATGTGACTGTAAACACAGTTGAATTTAAAAAAGCAATTACAAGCATACCTTAAGAAACAACTGTGAGAGAGCATCCATCTGACCCTCCATTTTCTTTGTCACCTCTGCAGAGTGCAACATTAGACACGTTTAGCTTCATCAAATGCTATTTTTTGCTCAATCAAATTTGAAAAGGTCTACCAAAAACCATTCAGACTCCTACACTCACCAGATCTTTTGAAACGGTGTCCAATGCTACGTGACCAGCCAATGGAGTGGATGAGTGGGCTGTACATGTGACACCAGAAGTCATCAGTGCCGTCCTGGCTCTCCTCATACACCAGGCGCAAACGTCCACCAATCACCTGTTCCACGAGGGCCACGCGAGTTCGACACAGGTGAGCCTTATCCACAACTTCCACACGCATCAGTTTCTTAAACGGGTACTGCATGTTCTCGTGAACCTTCAGTTAAACATTTAAACAAATCGTTTTTACTCACAGATGGAGACTTGTACACTACCATTCAAAGGCTGAGCTTTGTAACATTTTTTATGTTTTTGATAGAAGCTTCTTATGCTCACCAAGGCTGCATTTAACTGATCAAAATCACATTAAAAACAGTAATATTGTGGAATATTGTTCCATTTTAAAACTATATTTAAAAAAATTTAGACACTTTTTGTAGAAACTGATACATTTTTAAAAAGTCAATAAAAAAAAAACAGCATTTATTTGAAATAAAAACCTTTTGTAACATTGTGTTTACTGTAAATTTTGATCAATTTAATGCATCCCTGCTGAATCAAAGTATTAATTTCTTTTGGAAAAAACTGTAATTGAATATTAATTCTAGAATTCATTATGCCTTTATATACAAATAAAAGTAATTGTGGGTGCTACTTTCAAAAAGTCAAACAACAGAAGAAAAAAAAACAATGGAAGAAAAAAAACACAAAGATGTAAAGAAATAAACAAGAATGTTTACACAATTTTTAAAAATTATTTATTGCACTTTATCTCAGTGACAGACAATGATGTGCAAGTAAAAATGGTTATTGATGTCTGCTTCCTGTGTTACAATAAAGCAGTCTGACACCTGTACGCTTTGTGATCTTCATATCAGGAAGATCTTGCTGCACTGGTTTTTCCAGAGTCTCTCTCTACTGAAGCACAGTTTCATGATCACTGCTGGGATAGAGTATCTTACCTTTGTGGCGAAATCTGGTGGAAGTGTTTTGGCTCCAGTGAGTCGTTTCACAAGAAACGCTTTCCAGTTAGAATACTTATGGTGGATGGCTATGAAAACAAATTATATATATAAACAAATATATTAAAAAAATTATAATTACTTCTATTCAGCAATGGCAACTTCACACTACCTTAACTGCAAAGAAACCAGCTTATTACATAGTTAAGAATGTTTTACATACATTTCGGAGGCACCAGTGGCTTTACACTAGAAGCACACCATCCAACAGGGTGGACCTCTGGGATACACAGATTACACCAGAAGTCTTTGCTTGAGTCATTATCAAAACCCTCATAGCGCAGAAGAGCTTTAAAACCTAAGAAATTATGAAAATAAATATCATACCTTTTCCAGTTATAATACTTGAAAGATTCTTAACAGAAAAAACCTTGGCAGTCATTAAAATACAACATTACCTGCCAGTTTGACAATCCCTGCTACCCAGTAAACTTTTGTGGAGAGGTTTGTGTCAGAATTGATGACCTCCACCCTCATCCCCTCTGCTATGTCACCCCAGCACATACCCATGGGCACCTGAAGAGTGATCAAGTTACAAACAGTCAAAATATTAAACGATGCGCATTAAATATCGCATGCGATTTATCGTGCAGCCCTACAAAAAACAATGTTCTGCCAATCTCTGCCTGTACTCACATGTTTGAAACAGCTGACTGGTGCCCCAACAAGATTATTGCTACAAATGTACTGGCCCCAGTCAAAGCTTTCAACAGGAACCACTACACAAGCAAAAGAACAAATGATGCTGTGGTTAAGTGATGCGACTGCTACAACAGATTATTAATCAGTTAGGAATACAATAACATAATGACACTTTAAACCTGGATATTTACTTGATTTTGATTTAGCTTGGTTCTGTTGATTTGCTTGATACTGTGCGTAAGCTGCCAACTTTGCCATTAATGGCTGTTTCTGTAAGACTTTTGCTTTTTTCGTAGGTGGTTTACCCTTGATGGGACACAAGAAGAATACATTCAATGAACAACAATACAGGTAGTGTTTTGATTAGGAGTGCTTCTTAAGTCCATAAGTAGTTACCTGAAGTCTTGCCAGTATACTGGCCTTTTTAGAATTGGAGGAATAGCTTCTAGAGCAGGATACACTGCAGAATCTCTTTGTTTTAGAATAGAAAGCATCTCGTACACCAACCATACCACACATCTCACAGGTTGCTGCAACAAAAAACAAATCAATCAATCCTATATTCACACCATTGAACTAATGACGCACTGAAATTTCAGCCAAAACGGTCTGAATTTTTTTGCCTGTTCCGGAGGGCTAAATTAATCATCTGAAACAGTGACGTTTAATTAGCATTTTTCCAATTGCACGTTTTGACTGTGTCTGTGACTATTTTGTGCACACAATGTGGTTAACCAACAACATGTAAACATATCAGCTGTGTGGACCCTAGTGCTGGATTAACTATATTGATTTCTCATTACTCAATACGGATATGGATTTCTAAATCAAGATCAATCTTTTAGTCTAAGCTGTTTTCCGTTGATGTGCGAACTTCACTTAACATTAATGGTAGTGAACCTGCCATTCAATAAATCGCAATAAGCATTGTTATTTGTTACCTTTAAAATCAAACAGTCTCAGCTTTCAAATACTTGTGATTTTATCACAAAATCCAAACAATAAATGTGGTTTTGACTCTCTTCGAGATCACGTAACACATCACTATACTGAACGCATTTATCCTAGATGAAATGCAAACCATAGCCTAATTCTTTTTTGTTAGGTAGGTTTTGTTTTGTTTTGTTTTGTTAGGTAGTCAATTTTACACAATTTTAGAAATCAGAAATTATATTGTAACCACGAACGATTTCCATACACAGAAAGTTGACCTGAAAATATAATACTTTCTATTTATTTCCAGGGTTAAATGAAAAACAAAACCAATTTTTTGTGTAATCAAAATTTTTGGACCCCACTATATATGCAAATTACTAACCCATTCCTGCTTTTCCATCAGGATAGGTGTACACCTGGCCGTTGTTTTTGATGATTGGCAGGCTGGCGGGCATGCTGGGAACTTCATCCTCACTGTCCTCTGAGCTGGAGCTGCTACTGCTGTCTTCACTGCAGCTGTCATACCCGTCAAACATCCCGAACGAATCTCTTCTCTTCCGCTCTGAGCGGTGTGTGTGCTCAGCCTACGCGACGAGGCGAGAGGAGTGAAAAATGTGGAGAGGAAAAAAAAGAGAGTAGAAAGAACGTCAAATTAATGGAAGAGCAAAGAAAGACAAGGATTAAAGCTCACTTATATACCACTAATACTTCAATAAATGATTACCTTTGACATAATACAGCCTGATTAATATTACAGTTAGTGATAACCATAATCTTTATATTAGTTCATCAACGCTTTAATGAGCTGCAAATTAGGAAGCAGACCAAATCACATTAATAAAATTGAAGGTTCTAATGGGTCACAAAAAGCAAATATCATGTAAAAAGGGTCAATTTAATCAGCACCCAATATCCCCACAGCACAAGACAGGAGACAGCCAAAGCAAAAGAATCTCCTTTAATATTTCCATATGGCAGCTGCTGTATTTTCCAGTTCTACATTTTTAACCATTTAAGCACTAGACTGGTGCAACAGACACGGATTTGTCCAAACCACTGTGACCTGATTTCAGAATGAATTTCAGACAATTTTCTTCATCTGAACGCATGCCATTTCCATTACCACCTGCTAAAATACCATTTTACTAAAAATCGACACATTTTATATCCCCATAACCCACCATAAAGTGATTTTTAGGTCATATAACAACAGAAACATACATATTTGTTGTTTCAAAACCTAGTGAGCTTTCTACATAGACAGAACGTTTCATGAAAACGTGCTTAACGCGTTTATGATCCCCAGAAATACTGTCTACTGACCATGTTTTGAGACACAACCATAAACACAAACATTTACACATACATGGGCCTGCGGGTATATTTCACCTACACAAAACACACACATGATCAGTTGTATTTGCACCATTTAGTAGGACAGCTAGTTTGAATAAGCTATTACATACCATAGAGAGTATTACGAGTGATTTGAATGAGGTAAATTTTGTAGTTTGTGTGACGAGCAGGATCTGTTTCTGACAACCAAAACAAAGAGGACGGCTAACACTGCTAGCCGCTAACTGCGCTAAATCAAGGAAGCGGGCTCAAATAAACTCTTTCTTACCATATCCCTTGGGTTTTCCATTAGCCCTTCATGCAAATCGGTATCTTATGTTCGTTGTGGTATGGTCCAAGAGCCCCCCTGGGGGAAAGGGCCTGGCTTGAAATTTTTTTACTCTAAAGGAAAAAAATAACTCCAGTTGATTATCAACAATTGTCATGGCTCAAGTGCGCGTGCGCGTGGATCTAGAATGATTGACATGGATATTAGCCAATCACGGTTCACCTGGTCTGCACTTTTACACCATATAAGGTAAAAGGAAATGTTTTAGTGAGGGTGAATAACTACAGATCAAATAAATACCGACTTTGTGGTGCCATAGCAGATTTATTGACTATAACTATTAAATATAATATGTCTACTGTCATAACTTCGTGGTAATAGAATATGACAGGATGAAATGATGGATGGGGTGATAAATGTCTGGATGTGTGGCCAGTTTAGCAAATGAGGATAGTGTCTTGTATAGTTCAGTGAGGTGTGCTGTTGTAGTCCTATTATAAATATTTAAATAATAATTATATATATTAAAAAAAAAATAGGGTTTTATACCTTTCCAAACCCTGTTGTGTTTATCAAAAATTAATACATTTTCCCTGTCCTTTTAGTTAGCCTACGTTTGAGTCATTTATTTGTGGCAATCACACTGTGGCAGAAAAATGTTTTTAAATTTTAAAGTTTTTAGTAGGCTAAATTTAATTCTGGCATTTATGTAATAATTATTGCTATAAAATTGTAAAATCACACAAATAGATTTAAATTGGATTTGAATTCAGACCTTGAGGTTGATGATCAACATTTTCTTAAGGTTAAGCATATCCTTTCTATAATCATTTATTGAAAAAGGGAAAAAAGTGCCTCTGATACTTAAGAAAATCACTTAAATGTGTTATCGTAGATTTTTTTACAATAGAGGTACAAACAATAGATTTACAACTTATTTACAGTAATCTTCTATTGATGCACTGCCTCACATTTACAACAAAATTAGTTTTCGCTTAACCTAACTACACCTCGTAACATTAACATACTTTTATTTTACTCAAAAGCAGCATAAACTTTTTGAACTTGTCATACACGAAGCACAAACAGTAATCTTGTATATTAAGTTGACGGCCTTATTTATGGATTAAGCATTACATTTTCATTTAATTATTTGCTGCTTCTCACAATTGCATTGTTTAGTCTATGCTTTCTTAAAATATAAAGGAAGAGATATTATCTAGTTCCATTTCCATAGGTTTTCTGCCATTGTCGTTAGCTCCTGGATATTTCAATAACTTTCACGTAACATCTTGCATATTTTATAACAACCTTTGAATTATTCTATCATTATTTGTTAAAATAAACAGTGTGCATTCATTACATCCACTTTATCGCAGAACAAGGATCAAAAAACCATCATAGGTCTGTGTTCACTCAGCTCGCTCAAAAAAAACAAAAAAATTTTAAACTAAAAATGGGCTATAATAATACTCTTTATTTGATTGTATACACATACATACTGCAGCATTCAATGTAATAAAACTCAATTCACAACATAAATATTTTTTAACAGAAAATGAGAAACAGAGTTCAAACAGTACAAAAAAAATGACCCGTCAACATAAACTGAACCATCATATCACTGACAAACACAATAATTTGGTTCCTAACTAACTCAATCATGAGTTCCCTGAGCTCTGCTCTTCAACTGTCTTTCATCTGTTCTTCAGACGATCAATGAAATGCAAAGAATGACTGACGTAACCTATTATACGTAAATGAGATGAACACAAGTGAAAACAGTAAAAAATGAACCATCAAATGTCTTCCAGATGTCCCAAAAAGTTTAGACAAGATATAAACTGTGGAAACCATTCCTTATATGAGAGAACTTATGCAGTAAATACAGGTAGTCTGAGCAGGTGGCGTAGTCAAGTAAGGCTCTTTCTCAGAGACAGGAAGCATGTGCAGAATGCTAAATGAGGATAACAACTGGTCTCTGGGGAGGAGAATACAGGGAGAGCGACATCATTAAATCAATCATCAGGTCTTAAATGGGACATTATATACAGGAGCATCCAAACAATATATAATATGAGATTATACTGATGTTTGCTTACCAATATCAAGGCATACATGTCTTTGGTCTTTTGTCAGTTGAATTCCTCATCAACAGTGTCATCCACACTTCCAGAAATTGAGGCAACTTCTGAAAAATGACAAGAGGAAGAAAAAACTTTTTTTTTTTTATTTGTTGAGATTGTGAATTGGTGGGTTTTTGTTAAATGTGAGCCAAAATCATCACAATTAAAAGAACCAAAGACTTAAACTACTTCAGTATGTGTGCATTGAATTTATTTAATACACGAGTTTCACAATTTGAGTTGAATTACTGAAATAAATGAACTTTTCCATGACATTCTAATTTATTGAGATGCACCTGTATATCATAAAAAAGGACAGAAAACAAAATTTAAATGTGCTGGCCACTTTTCTTTCTTTCTTTTTTTTTTGCATTTTATGACCTTTAACAGATTAAAAATTAGCCTTTACATAAACAAAAATAAAACAAAAACAAAAATTAATGAAATGCTGCTGATAAAAATAATTGTTCACAAAAATTAATACTATTAAAAATCCTTTTCATTAATTGAAAAGCTAAAATAAAAATAAAAATATTAGATAAAATATAAAAATGAGAAATTTGAAATGAATGAAACTTCAAAATATAACAACTAAAGCTAATTTTAAATAATATTATTTTAACATATATATATATATATATATATATATATACACTGCAAACACTACTACTAATACATTTTATTTGTATACCATCTTTCATAAAGAAAAATGAAATTTAAAATTAATTTGAATTTAAAATAAGTACAAGTAATAAGAAGCAAAAAGCAAAGATGAGGAGAAATGAAGAGGGAAAAAACTATAAACAATAAAATGACAGCAGTTTTTTTTATTTTTTATTTTTTTAAGATGTGAATGTTGGGAATGTGTGAAGCTTGTCAAATTTAAATAGTTAAAAGGTTCCAGAATTTTGGGGCATAATTCTATTAATAATTTACTTTACTAACTATTAATAACTTTGAGTTACATTTTTTTAAAACCCTTCACCTTAAATGAGCACCAGTAATAAAAAGGTAAGCATCTCTCCTTAAAAACCTCAAACCCACGTGTAAAGTATAAAGTTGCAGCAAGGTGTATTAAAGCCCTTCAGTGAAAACCAGTTACATCCCACAGTGATCCAATGTGCTCCAGTGTGTCGTTAAGTTACAGTATATATATATAAGTTACACCTCTTGTTGAATTGTCTTCACCACTGTTGCCTTTTTCAGTGTTGAAATCCATGTTCTTTAGTTCCTGAAGATCTTTTCCTCTTTCTTCAGTTGCACTTCCTGCTTTATTATGCAGCATTTCTTCACTCAAACTTGACTTCTGGCATTTCACATCACTTTTTAGTGGGCGTGGTTCATCTAAATTTCCCACTGTAAAGGACTCATGTTTATACTCTTCAGAAGTGTTACTTAAGTTGCTTTCACAGCTGCTCCTGTCACTCAGCGTGATGACCTCTGGATCTGCGTGTGGATGAGTCTGATTAGCTGGTCTGAGTGGCATTCCAGCATCTTCAGCGCTCCTGGATGAATCTGAACTCAGCTCAATCACAGAGCCTGAGGAAGCAGTGGTCTCGTCACAAGATTCTGTCAAATAAGATGAAGACGCAGTGGACGACTGAGGCATGGTGGTGCTGAGAGACAATTCAGAGGAGTCCCTAGAGGAAGTGAGGTAATACCACACTCCTCTGATGCCGTCACTGTTGTTGCTGCTCTCAGTAGTTTCACTGAAACTGTCCACCGTACAAGACGAGCCCGTCTGTTCTGATGCAGATGATGCCATCTTATTCTTCCTGCTGTAACAGTGAGTCCCAAGAAAAACGTCATCACTAAGAGTGAAGGAATCCAGCGTTGATGTCACAGCCTCCACACAGGATGGAGATGGAAACGAAGATGAGATGTCCTGCACTGAAGGCTCGTGTAATGGTGATGCAGGGGTTAAGTTATTCGATTGGATTGGTGGGTCTAGCGCGGAGGAAGACGACTCAAGTATTTGGCTGACCAGATCACTCAGGTTCTGAGATGGAGTGGAGTGGATTAAGGAAGAGGAAGACATGAATCCAAAACACAGGCTCTGGTCCACGTCGGCTCGCTCCATCTCCAAAGAGCTTGTGAGAGACGAAGACCATTCCAGCTGCTTGCATAGCCATGGATATTCTGAACCTCCAAATTCGTCACCCCGAGGACTGGTTAAACTCTGCTGAACTGAAATACTACTTTTCAAACGTTTGGGGTTGGTAAGATTTTTTTTTTAAATGTTTTTGAAAGAAGTATATTATGCTCACCAAGGCTGCATTTATTTGATCAAAATACAGTACAACAGTAATATTGAGAAAAATTATTAACATTTTAAATTAGTTGTTTTCTGTTTTAGTATGTTTTAAAATGTAATAACTTTCCTGTGATGCAAAGCTGAATTTTCAGTATC